GACATGCCACAATCAGAACGTATCATAAACCGATGTGTGGAGTGGGATTTTGGAGATTTCATTGTGGGCGGAGCTATCCGGTGTTTATAACATCTAGACCTTTACATTTCATCATTAAGATGATAAACTGTTCGTAACAAACTGTAAACAGAAACAATAGTTTGAGGACATACATGCACATACTGTATCTCTAAAAGTACACCGACCTGGACAACACTAAGATTTGTATAACAATGGACCTTTTCATAGATTGATGAATGATGAGGCATTTCCAACACTGTAAATCTAACAAAATGTTTGATATTTTCATTTTTGAAAAATTTATGTTTTATAACACTATACTTTGCATTGTATTACCTTGGCATTAAATTTCAGAAAACTAGTAGTTTCAAAAATGAGAATGTGCTGAAAATATACTCACTCTCAGGCCAACCAAGATGTAGATGAGTTTGTTTCTTCATCAGAACAGATTTGGAGAAATGTAGCATTACATCACTTGCTCACCAGTGGATGCTCTGCAGTGAATGGGTGCCGTCGGAATGAGAGTCCAAACAGCTGATAAAAACATCACAAGAATCCACACCAATCCAGTCCATCAGTTAACATCTTTTGTAGTGAAAAGCTATAGGTTTGTAAGAAACAAATTCATCAAGACATTTTCAACTTTAAACAAGTCTACAATCTATCAGTCAGTGAAAATATTGTTTAGTCTGAATCAGGTGAGAAATATGCAAAGATCAGGCAATGAAACCAGTTCTAAACAAATACTGCGTGGGTAGATTTTGATGTGAGAGGACAACAGGAGATCGACTTTTCACTGGAGGAAGCATTATTGCGGATTATACATCTTGGATGGCCTGAGGGTGAGTACATTTTCAGAAATGTTTTTTTTAAGCAAACTATTCCTTTAAAGGGGTCATATGATGCTGCTAAAAAGAACATTATTTTGTGTATTTGGTGTAATGAAATGTGTTTATGCGGTTTAAGGTTAAAAAACACATTATTTTTCACATACTGTACATTATTGTTTCTCCTCTATGCCCCACCTTTTTGAAACACACAAAGCTCATCGGTCTGAAAAGCGAGGTGTGCTCTGATTGGCCAGCTATCCAGTGCGTTGTGATTGGCCGAATACCTCAAGCGTGTGACGGAAATGTTACGCCACTACAATACTGTGATGCCGTGTCCCGGCACGACGAGGCAAAAACATTAAAACCCATTATAAATGAGGCATTTGTTGCATCCAGTGGGGACATAATCATGGATTATAATGACTTATACTGTCTTTTTACGCGTTGGGTTGTATTGCGCCGCGTAAACATAAAACCATGTCTGCATTTGTGATCGGAGAAATGACAAACTACAAGCCCTACTCTACACTGCTCAAAAAACTCGCATTTGAATCATCAGTGGCAAATTCTTTAACCCTTGTGCGACCTTTTGGACATTTTTGTCCATTTCATTTGAGTTTTTTTGATCATTTTGCCTGTGTTATTGCCAACTGCATACATTTTGGCACAGGTGTGTATTTTTATTGGTATTTTACTATTTCACTTCCATTTCCTTTAATAAATCTGTTTTGCACTAGGTATAAAAAATTGTTCCTCTCAGAACCTTAAGGACAAAAATGTCCCCATTGAAACCCATTAAAATTGCTATTTTTAATCGCAGTGCCATTTAACTGTAAAATTATGAATTTTTTGTTAATAGGCTTTCATTATATTGGCAAGGCTTTAAAATAAAATGTTTTACTATTTTTTACCAGATGGTGCCATTTTTTCAGGTTTGACCTGTAAAGAAAATACTCGCTTTATTTATGTTTTCTGCTTCTGCATATTATAGAGCCAATTGGATAAATAATGCAGCTATAATTGTGTGGGTGTGTTGGTATGGATGTCAGAGTGTGGTTTGTATGTGTGTCATAAAAAATATATATATATTTGAGAGAGAAAAACTCTACTGCAAATCACAAATCCAACCACTGTGTGCACCAGCAGTGTTTTGCTGGCATCTAATGGGGAGAATTTGGTACTGCACCCAAACAAAATCTTACTGAAAGCTCATTTTTTGAGATATCAACCTCAAATTTGGAATACAACTTGTTTAGATTTATGGCTTTGATTTTCTAGCAGTTATAGCGTTCAACATGTATAATCGTTCATAAATCATTTTCATAAACCTAAACATCTAGAACTTTTTTTTTTGGTTTCACTTTTTAAACTTTTTTTACTTCAACAATAATCTGCCATGGGTTTTCTTTAAAATGAGACCAAACTTAACTCTGTGCTCCCAAGCTTCAAATTTTTATGACAGTTTTTTGACATGGACATTTTCGTCCACTATGGAGCTATGTGTAACTTTTTTTAATTGACGCACAAGGGTTAAATATAAAATACGTACTTACAGTCTGTGAGTCAGAACAGCCGGCATTGTAGTCTACTCTCCCAGGATCAGGAAACAGTCATAAAATGCGCTGGACACATCTGAATATTTGGGTTAAACTGTTCTGGAACAGTGTTGTAAATACAACTTAACCACTGATTTCTTGTCGTGTCCTCTTTTGGAAGACCAAACAAATTAGTTTCGCTTTCACAACAAAACAGCGTCACACACCTAGAGTGAGCAGAGGCCGGTGGGCTTGAGAACGGCGCGGCCGGTGGATTCGACGAAGGAGTGTCCGGCGGGCAGAGGCAGACAAAGTACTCAACTCCATTACTTGAGTGAAAGTACAGATACTGCTGGTCAAATATTACTCTATTACAAGTAAAAGTTGTAAAGACAGATTTTTACTTAAGTAGAAGTAAAGAAGTACTTGCTTTTAAAAGTACTTAAGTACCAAAAGTAAATTTATTTTTTATGTCAATGCAATTTTATTGTTGTACGTAGTACTTGCAATACCTCTGAAGTAACTTAGAATACATTACACCAACTGAATACACTGACTAGCTTGTAGTATCTTTGTAATAAAGAGCTTTTAGAATGTTAAAACCCCTAGTGGGAAAAACTAAACAAAACTACAACAAAAAAATTATTATTGAACACCCCTACCCACCCCCACAAAAGCAGGATGGTAGTGATCTCACACAGCTCTGGACACATCTATGTGTAGCCATTCATCCACATTTGAACAGAGTGGACCGTGAAATCCTGTAAATACAGAGTGATAAGGAAGAAACAAAATCAAACCTGCTTTAAAACCCAGCAACACAACTGTAGCTGTACAACTTTACAACAGCAACACTGCTTTAACAAAAAAGCAAAACAGCAAGACTTATTTGACATCAAAACAAACATTTTAAAATGCTGTCTAATCACTCTCACTGTACTTTGATGTCACACACAGAATGGTCTGCGCAGTTCTGGTTCAGTCAAACACCTTTTGTGTTTTATTAGGAGATGCATAACAGTTCTTCTGTGGCTTTATAGGTAATATTTTCACATACACAATTTAGCAAAATCAGACAATATTGTGTCTAATATATACCACAATATTAACTTCTTATTATTGAATTGTTGTAAATAAATATCACATTGGCAACTGGTCAGTGTTCAAAAAATACTGGGAAATCTCTTCATGTAGCCCTACAAGAGAGATTACTGATCAACTGTCTGAAAAAAAAGAAAGTCACGTTTTAGAGAAGAAAAAAACACACACTGACTTTCAAAGCTGCTACATAGTAACAACTTTCTACTTCGAGGACCTTGATAGAAATGTAGTGGAGTGAAAAGTACAATATTTGTCTTTCAAATGTAGTGAAGTTAAAGTCATAAGTTCCCAGAAAAAATAATACTCAAGTAAAGTACAGATACTCAAAAAGTTTACTTAAGTACAATACTTAAGTAAATGTACTTCGTTACTGTCCGCCTCTGCCGGCGGGCTTGCGGCAAACACATGTGACGACCCCGGGCTGGACTCTACTTCGTCCAGCACGGATCAGCTCCAGGCATGACGAAGCAGATATCGTCCTCTTTTGGAAGGCCAACCAAAGTAGTTTCGCTTTCACAACGAGACACACAGCGTCTCCACAACATGGCGGTGACATGCAACAACAATACTACAGCGAGAATAAAAGTTACGCCTTCTTTCTTTGCGTGAACATTTGGGCGGCGTTATGCAAATCTTCCCACATCATGACGTAGGTATGTGGGGGCATGTTAGAATGAGCCGTTTTAGGTCGGCGTGGTTGACTCTTAACTTTTATAAAGAATATCTCTTTGGATTTGAGACTTTAGTCTTTGCAACGTTACAGATCTTCTTTATGCACCAAGAACTTGTAACACTCCAAAGAGAAAGGAAAAATTTAAATCGCATCATATGACCCCTTTAACACTGCTGTGGAATGTTTCTAACACAGCGGGAATGATGGCGAATTTGGCTTCTTCCTTTGACGTCTCTGCGTTCTGACCACCATAATCAATCTCTCAATATTGCTTTTTGGAAAGTCATAGCAATGCTATCATTGATTTTTTTTTCTTTTGCTATTGGATCAAGTGAGAAAGGAAAAAATATATTTGTATTTGTTGTAGTTTCCATTGACCACTATAGAAGTTCACCCAACTATGACGACTTCTGCTTCTGAGAACCCTGGAAATATGAAAAGAGTCGCATCTATTGGTCTTTACTGATTAAGACAAACTAATGAGGAACGAATCATGGCATTGTACTGCAGTGATAAACATCAAACTGTATAAAAACGGTTTATGCTAGAGCTTTTACTGCGTTTTTACTTGCAACTTGTAATCATATTTAAAACTTTCCACCCTGAGCCTGATGAGAGTATTAAGAATATTCTGATGGTTGCTGTGCTTTTTTGTTTTTAAAAATTAGATTATGGCATAAGTATTTTGCTAATGACACACCAAAAACAGTGCTGAAAACACACAACTGAAAAAGATCTGATAGAAGATATTTGCCGCAGGCTACTGAGCAGTGCGTCAGGCCTACACTGAATGAAGAAACAAAAGAGCTGCTTTAGGCCTGTCTCCTGATATTTTCTGACTCAGCGCAATCCTATTGTGCGAGTGTCCTCTTTTCCCAAGTCCTCCTGCTTCAGCTCATGAACAAGATTGTATTCCACTAGCGAGTAACGAGATTTGAATCCATTTTTTTCCCCGCCCGCGGCGTCGCTCTGAAAGTCCACTTTCTTGTTGATGTTCTTCACTTGCGTGGCTCCGATGACGCTTACGGACAAGTCCTTGTCTCGGCTGCAGTTGTTGGTCAGGTTATTCATGGTCTCGATTTCACTGTGGCTGTCGATCTGCTGGCTCCTCTGCTGCAGCTTAAGACGGATGTAGACAACCAAGACGGCGCCGCCGATCAGGACTAAAAGCACTAATATAATCCCAGCGCAAACCGCCGTCCAAGGAAAGGCGCCATCGTCCTCATCGTAAGAGTACCTTTTGTCGGCGCCCTCAACGGCTTGTTCCTGTGGGTTGTCTGGGAGCAAGAACTGACAGTTACGTCCTCCGTAACCCGGGATGCAAGCGCACACATAGCGGCCATCCCTCTCGTGACAAGTGGCACCGTTGTGGCACGGGTTGTGCACGCACTTGTTGACCGCAGAGGTGCAGTTCTTGCCGGTGTATCCAGGCGGGCAGGTGCAGGTGTAGTCGTTGAGTCCGTCTTGGCACGTGCCGCCATTCTGGCAGGGATAGTCGGCGCACTCCTCGATGTTGTCTTCACAGTGCGTTCCAATGAAACCCTCAGGACACTGACAGAGATATGAGTCCACGAGATCTAGACACTGAGCCCCTGGAGAAGAATAAGTAGGACAAAAGACATGAGACATCTGATTCAAACAACCCACAGTATACATTTGAGGTGTTAAAATGGGAGCATTCAATGTACCGTTTGAGCAAGGGTTGGAGCTGCAGTGATCAATCTTCTTTTCACAGTTGAACCCAGCGTAGCCCGTTGGGCACTGACAGAAGTATCCTCCTTCGGGGTTGTCAGTGCAGCGTCCACCGTTGAAGCAGGGACCGTCAGCGCAAGTCGTGGCGCTCAGCTCGCAGTTTCTTCCATAAAAACCAGGAGGACACGTGCAGCTGTAGGTGTTTTCAAGATCCTGTGAAATCCAAGGAACAATTTAGAAGAAGTTGAGAACAAAACTCAAGACCAACAACGCAGTCACAGAGAATGCAATGATCCACATATCTAGGGAAACTCACAGTGCAACTGCCTCCATTTCTGCACGGGCTGCCAGAGCATTCGTTGACCTCAATCTCACAGCTGTCCCCAGTGAAGCCAGGTCTGCATGAGCAGGTGTAGCTTCCCTGGCCAGTGTTGGTGCAAGTGGCCCCATTCTGGCAGGGTTTGTGATGTGTGCAGTAGTTGAGATCTGCAACACAAAACATGTAGGTTAGTGTCCTGCTGAGTCTAGAGTCAATGGACAACTCTAAACTAACAAATTGATCAACTACTTAGTTTAAGATGTCAAAGGCTCACCTTGGTTACAGAAGAGGCCTCCCCAACCCTCTTGGCAGTTGCATTGCCATGGCTGTTGGCAGGTGCCATGCAAGCAGCCCGGATAGCGGATGCAGTCGTCACAATACTTTCCACTAAATCCCACTCTGCATCTAAAAACACCACAGAGGAACTGTTAGTATGTTGTTAACTTCAATTGCAATGAAAGTATGAGTGTTAAACACGGAGGACCTGAAAATCTTCATTACACTTACTTGCATTCGCCAGGTTTGTCGCAAAAGCCATGGTCTTCATCACATCCCGGAAGACAGATTGCTGTAAAAATAAAACATTAGAATTTTTTTATTAATACCAGTTCCTTTCTTACACCATTATTATTCTAGTAGTCACAGCTGGGTATTTACCAAGCTGCTCACCAGTACTTTGAGAGTAACGGGGGAAAAAATTCTTCTCACTACCATTGGAAGGACACTGGTTAACACAGTTGCACTCATACAAAAGCTTCCCAAACAAAAGGCCCTTTTTCCCCTAACTGTGGGTCAGAAGTCCCCTTTTTCACTCTGTTCATCCAACCCCCTCCCCATAACGTCCCAGAGTCGGCGCAGATAAGGGTGGACAGCTGGTGTACATGGTGCCAGTGCAGGACAGCTGCTCTATTGTCTACCTTCACTCTGCAGCTGCCCCCTTCCAACAATACCTCACCGCTCTGAGCCAATCAGCGCCAAGCGCTCTGCCAAGTAACCAATCAGGCGTTACATTTAATCTATGGCACACGTGCCATTATTTGGCCAACGTCCCTCATTTGAATCACACAAACGCCTGTTGCAACCATAGCTACGAAGTTTGTTGTTGTTGTTTTTCTCGGGAAATAAACATGCATCAAATACAGACAAAAATAATGCTAGATGTGACCACAAAACCAGTCATAAGGGTCAATTGAGATGTATACATCATCTGAAAGCTGAATAAATAAGCTTTCCATTGATGTATGGTTTGTTAGGATAGGACAATATTTGAAAATCTGGAATCTGAGGGTGCAGAAAAATCTAAATATTGAGAAAATCGCCTTTAAAGTTATCCAAATGAAGTTCTTAGCAATGCATATTACTAATCAAAAATTAAGTTTTTGATATATTTACGGTAGGAAATATTACTTGACAATTACTTGATATCCTAATGATTTTTGGCATAAAAGAAAAATGTATAATTTTGACTATTGTTGGCTATTGCTACAAATATCCCCGTGCAACTTTTGACTGGTTTTGTGCTCCAGGGCCACAAATATCCTTTATACTCACGTTCTGTGCAGTACTGTCCTTTCCATCCGGAGTTGCAGATGATTTCTCCGCGCTCTCCGCAGGTGAAGTGGCCGAAAGTGTCGTCGCGGGGGCGGCAGAAGACCGAGCATCCCTCGCCGTAGTAATGCTCATCACAGACGAATCTGTAGGAGTACTTCAGCTCTGTCCTCCCACCACCCTGTAGATCCTGGGACCAGTCCTCGCCCACTGTTAGGTGCCTCTGGGTGGTCATACGACTGATCAGACGCTCTGGGTTTTCTGTGGACGTTTTAATTTCAGCGTTATCTCATGACTGCACAATGAACGTTCTTTCCAATTACACGCATCTTCTGCTTACCTGTGGACAGATCGTCGTTGGAATCGGTGCGCAACGCTTCGATAATCAGCGAAAACGTTCCCTGAAACATAAAAAAGGAAATTCGGCTAAATTAGAGCAGATCGAAGCGCATTCCTTCACACCTCCCCGCTGGTTTACATATAACGGAGGATGTGAGTGGCTTGAGGTGTGATCGCACTGGGGATTCAAGCCTCATTTCTCCGATTTCACACTTACTTATTGCAGTAAAATGAAAGGTTTCGGAATTTCACACTGAGCTGACAATTATATTCCAACCCAGGGGATGTGACTTTTCCCACATCTCCAACACCACTAAATACCCACATCCTGAGTCCTTATGCGTCATTATTGTAGATTTTTAGGTTGCATTTTCCAGATATAAAGTATAATGTAAAAAGAAGAAGAAGTAGCACTACTCACCGGCCATGTGAATCCAAATGAGAACTGGATGGGGTTGGTGAACGAGCTGTCAGGAAAGCTCTGAGGAACTCAACTCTTTGCCACTGGGAGAGAGTGGGAGAGAGAGAGAGAAAAAAATCTAATTTACATACAGGAAAATAAGCAACCTTGAGAATCCTGCACATCCCACTCTGACATTAAACCAAATTACATCACACATTGCAGGAATGTCGCGTTCCTGATAACGGGACAAAAGTACCAGCGGGGTTTGTGGTTTTCTGAGCTGTTCTGTGCAACATGACTAAACTGTGCATTTGTGTTTACATCTGAGGGGTTTTGGAGTGCAAACTTTTCTTTTAGTATTCATTTATTTTGACTAAATTCGTAGGTTAAAAGTCATTCTATAAAATAATGCAAACATATTTGCGCTTTTAAAAGGTTGATCACTGTAAAATGTGCTAATAATAACACGTGAAATGTTGTAAACACCAAGTAGATGCAAAGTAGAATGAAAAACAGTCATTTTCAATCACAATTTTTACGCAGTTAAATTAGTTATCATCAGTGTTGGGGGTAACACGTAATTAGTTACTATTTTAGGGAGTAACGCAATATTGTAATGCATTACTTTTAAAAGTAACTTTCCCCAACACTGGTTATAATATCCTTAAATTAAATAAATAATGTCTCCTTCTAAAACATTTTAGAACATTTTACAGTAAAATTACATGAAATCTAATTTTATTATAGTACAGTTAACCAATTTGACCGTGGCATTTCACTACCGTTCATGATGTTCTAACAGTTTTAAAAGTGAGAACTGCAAGTCGAAGCCGTTCAAATTTGCTCGCGCCTCACATAATTAGGTCATGTAAAGTGAGCATGCATATTCTTTGGGTTTTTAACAACACTTCTTTTCAGTGGTTTGAGTTTTGGTGACTCTGTAAGTTCTCTAAGCTGGATTGTAAACGCTGAACTGGTGTGTGTCGTTCGCGTGGCTGTCATTAAGGCACTTTGTTATTGTGTAAGGGGAGAATAAGTATTTTTTTTTCTGTGCGCTCTCAGCTGTATGGTAATTCCCACAGCACCTGCTCCCCTCACAATGTCGCGGGGAGAAAGAGCTCCCCTCTCTACATGTCATCCCTGACAAAAGTACCTAGCAGCTTCTGTTGTTTTGGTGTTTTATCAATTATTTTGCGTTTAATTTGACGAGGAAGTTTCCGATGTGTTCTTTTAATCGTTCATATTGTTAAATGAATCAAGCTCTCGCTCTTTTCGCCCCATGTTGCGAGCGTTTGCTTGTGTGGATGTGCGAGGGTGGTCTTCATTAGTGCGTTAATTAAAAGCGCTCCAGAGGAATGCAACAATCGTGCATCAGAGTGACACAGTTACGCGCAATCGGTTTTGGCACTTGATGAAAATCGTTTAGAAAGCTATTCAATCTTAGTTTAAGTGTTCATTAATACAATTTTTTATCCAATGCGTTTCCTGAGCAAAAAACACGGATTTGCAATGCGATGGGATGCGACAGGTGTCATAGCAACACACTCCGGAGTTAGTTATTGAACCGCTGGCCGTAAATAAGAGCGGAACCGTGTCGCCCAGCTATCATCACACTTTCATCCACAGTTCTTTGGCCTGACGTTGCACACATTTCCCGATTACCCCAGCAAAGCATCACTGAAAAGCACGCTGAAAGCCCTCAGATTTATGCCCATTTCGCTTATTCTTTTCAAGCATAATTTATGCCACGCGATTCTGTCCTGGTTAAATCAAGCAGAAAGCTCCTTTCTCGCATTCCTCCTCTTTTTCTGAAGGTGGACTATGGGGAGACTGTTTAACTTAAGTGTTTCTATAGGGGGCTGTTGTACTTTAACTCCTGCCCACCAGTAGCTGCGACGAACAAAGCCGGGACTCGAGGTCTGACTCTTCATCTTTCTTTGCGCTTTAATTTTCATTGATTCTGAATACAAGGGGAGCCCTCGGGGACTCTCTCTGAAGACGTGGACAGCCCCCCAAGCCAACCATCTGCTCCCAACCAAATGGCGTTTTTTCACATCGCAACTGCATTTCTCCACTGCCTCTCTGGGCAGCGCGCAGCCGCGCACACACAGGCTTCTCCAAATGAGACTGGAAGCATGCGCGCATGAATGCCGCTGCTGGGCCATATGGTTAGGGAAGCTGCAGTAAGTGGCCGTGGGAACCCGGGCAGTAACGACCGCAGTAACGGCTTGTGGGAGAGTGTCTGGCAATCGATCGGTCAAATTAAGTGGAGCGCGAATGTTTCTCAATGAGATAAACGCGCATTGCTATATAGGCTACGCAACAGGAGACGCGGAGGCGATGAAAGTGTTGTGGCATCGTGCATGCGAATACGTTTAAAGCTTATGTTGTGTTCGGGAAAAAGACAATACACTATAGTAAGAGTAGGTTCCCCACCATGACGCAGCAAGGACTTGCACTGATTAAAATAACAAAGGATGTGTCGCGTGGCTCGGGTGGCGCACTCATTATGAAAAAAGCAGCAAAAGCAAGACGAAACAATAAAACGTACTGCGAAATAGATGCATCCGGATCTAGGAAGTTACTTATGTTTAATCAAAACGGGTTTGCCATCGACTATATTGATGCACACGAGCTGTTGTTCTGATTAAGAGTCATGATAGAGTTTCAAGTATATATGCTACTAGAGCGTGTGTGTGTGTGTGTGTGTGTGAGGGAGAGAGAGAGAAAGAGAGAGAATGAGAGCAGGAGGGGTGAGTGAATTCTTTAACAGGCTTGAGGACTGTCGCGTGCCATCGTCCTTTAGGGAACATCTGCCCCTTTCCCTGGGGTGGTTTTGTTTATGTGAGAAACTTTGGTTCAAAGAGGAAGAAAAATCAATACTTGATCCAAAACTAAGCTACATTGGAATCCGGCGTCTGCCAAATGTGACAACACATCTGTTATTTCTATTATGCAGGTATGATTCATAGCATAAATAGTTGAAATGTGTTGGGGGGGGGGAGACATTTCTGTACAATTGTCACAGAAGACAATTGTATTAATTTAGCTTTTTTCCCTATCAGTTTGTGAAACTACAAACAGGGATTGACCTATACTAACATATCTGCCGTCTTATAAGTTTTAAATCCTTATTCTTAATTTTGCATGTGTCAATTCAATCGTGACTAGTGTTTTTAAACTGCATAAAGTAACACTACGTTGTGTTGGTTTTATATAATTGCATTTTGCTAAACAGAAAAAAAACAACCTACAATATACAGGGAGCTATACAGTGCACAATGATAAACCGTTACATAATAAACAGATTAATTTAAAACACCATGAATGTATTTCTTTATTTACTAACACAGTTCTCATATATAAATGAAATACATTACTTAAATAATAGATTTTATTTTATTATTATTTTTTTTTTTCAGATTTGTTATCGACTAGAGTATTTAATAAATCCTAAATTATTTCAGTTGTGGTCTTCGTTTTCATTTACAATAGCTAGAAAGGAATACGCTGATTGGCTGCTGAGATTGTCGTGCCGGAACAGGAAGTGAGCGCAACATTGTAAACACTAGCGGTTTCTGCTACTGTAGCAGCCATGCAGCATTGAGCGAGAGAGCGCTTAATGCTCACAAAGTCGAGTATTCTTGTTAAACTATGTGTGCATTTCACCAAATAATTCGACTCGATTAGTTCCGGCTTTGATGAAGGTCTGCCTTCCGAAAAACAACATGTGTTGTGATTGGTTAGCTGTTCCAGTGTGTTGTGATTGGTGAACAGCTTAGATGGTGTTTCAGTATTGCCACGCCCCTTGCTCCGTCTTTCAACAAAAACTTTTGGGCGAATCCGGCACTGTACTCCCACGTGTTGTGGAAGCTGTCTTTAGTAAAATGCGCAGCACACAATAGCAAATTGGGGTTATAATGCTCAGGAACAGAGTTAAAAAATAAATTGCAACCACTGTTTCCTGACATCATCCGCTTTCGGAAGCCCAAACAAAAAAAAACAGGCAGCGTCGCGCCACTTCTTTAAAATTAAAATATTATATTTTCTATGAGTGTAGGCACACCGGCGGCGCCGTTCGGCGTCTGTCCGCGGAGCCCAGCTACATCGTGTTATACTTGTAAGAATTGTTCTAGACATGCCGAAAATTTGACGTTACAGCACAGCAGCTCTTCTTCTTGGTTTTCTCTGATGCACTAACTCTGCAGCAGCACTTCGTCTTCGTCGTCTCGTCTGATGCAAGCGTTCTAACCACAACCTCGCCCCTCCCCACCCCCCAACCATTC